TTTTTTTTTTGTTTACAAATGTTTTTCACTGCTTTTGTTTGTGTAGTTTGAGATTGTTCAAACTCAAAACAGAAGGCCAAACAACATAAACAGAAAACCTCACCGCAAAGTTACAAAACTCAAATCAAAATTCTCGCTTTGAACAACCCGACTCAGGAGCTCTGCTTTTCATCATCATAATTCCTTATATAGCTCCCAGTGGGGCATAGGGCCGCAGCTCCGCTTTTAGGTTTGGCTCAATCTATATATTATACAAGTTACTTACAAGGGAAGAAGATTGTCGCAGTCATAATCCGGTTTAAAAACATCGATTGAGCCCACAGGTCTTGATCAGATGCTTCTTAAACGCGTAGCTATAGTTACATCTTCCAAAGAGGCCAACATTTTTATTTCTAAAAAAGATGATTAATGCAGTATACAAGTATATATCAATCAAGTTTCGTGACCTTTTACAATAAAAAATGGGGTTTGTCTACACCGTCAGTCGTTGATTAACTGGTCGTTGTCGAGAGTTGTGACTCGGTTTAGTGGCCATTCCCGTTGTAGAGAGGTTAAAGTAAGAGTGAATGTATGGACCGTCCAGCGGGGCGTAAAAAAATAGCCGTTGTAGAGAGGTGGCCGTTAGTGGAGCTGCGACGGTGTAATACTAAGCCCCTATGGGTGGAAGGTGGAGGAAAATTGCCTTTACGCTTCTTTTTTGGGAAAACCATAAAATTAGTTTAATACAGCTTGTAGTCCTAATTTAATAAAGGAAGCTATTTACACTGACAGTTTTAAACCTGACTTGAACCCTAGTTTTTTCTTTTTTACTTTCTCAACTGAAAGTATAGTGATAATTACCAAAAGAACTTTATGAAAAAATCTGTCGATTTATACAAAACGTCAGTTTCTATATAGTTTTAAAATAGCTGTGACGTAGATTAAGGAATGGGCGACTTAAAATATGAGTAAAAAAGTAGAGTTCTTTTTCGTCGTGTTAAAGAGCTAAAGGCGGCCAATAAAGCCTAAAACATGCTTTACTGCAAGATGCAACAATGCTTCTATGATGCTATCGACCCCAAGAATGGGAATGCACAAGATCCTTTTGCGGCTCCCTGGTAATCAAGTCGTGCCAACAGGGTCGCCGACAACAAAATTCAGCCATGAAAATAAAGATCATCTTGCAAATATTACCCCCAGTTTCGGGTAATATCTCCGAAAAGTCCTCCGCTGAATCTCTGCAGATATTACTTTCTTTCTTGTGTTTCGATTTTCTACATTCGTTAAAGGCTTTTACAACAGGTTCCAGTCGCCTGAAAATCGAGATCGATCGGATGTGTCACGCATTGAACGAAACCTTTCCTAAAAGAACGCTAAGAAGAGGCTGAGCTATGCCTGAGGCATATTCAACTTGACGGCTAAGTTTAGTGTGAAAAGAACAAGCTATCCCGTGGAGAAAACAGCTCACGTTCGACGAGTTTGAGTGGAGAGAATTTGAAAGGTGTTCAGACAAACATGAACAATTTTAGAGAAATGTGCACGTTGTTGAAACCTAAAACCACAACGAATTCAACTCGTAAGGTGCTAAACATTGAAAGAAGCTCTTGCGATCGAGGACTGAAGATTCGAACCTCAAGCGGGATTAAGAGCAGTTCAGTAGTTCGCAATAACTGAATAGGTCATTATGGGGAATCCCCGCGAATTTAAATTTAGATCGAGAATCGTGGAATTTTTTCACTGATTGATTGAAGGGGATAACTTCTATACATTTTCCTTTTAGTGAGCTCAGAGGGTGTGACAGGATATTTGTCACGCGTCATGGAAGGTCACGGTTGATGTGTAGCTCTGTAAATGAGTATACAGTATACACAGCTACGTTTTAAAATATATTCATGGAAAGCATGGTGTGAATACATGTGCTCTAAGGAAAACTAATGGTGTACAACGTTTTAGCATGTATACTGTTCATAATGTCGATGTACTTCGCTGAAGCTCAGTAAATTTTGTTCCTGAATCTCAGATATGTTTGTTTGTTTGTTTGGTTGTTTGTTTGTTTGTGTTATGGGTCAATGGCCTATGAATGCAAGCCAGTAGTAGGAGCAAAAACAACAACAACAATAGCTTTATTTGCATGACCATAATGATTACAGAGGAGCGGTCAGTGTGAAATGTAGACTGCAGGCCAACCCTAACCTTGACCAAATACTAAGAACTACAATCATGGTCACAAGTGTTGTACAACTTCATTCTATACGCATTTTGCCCCTCCTCACCCGTGTGCAATGCTGACAAAACACTCTCACCTAACGCAAGTTTGCATTTTACCATTTCCCAGCATTGAAAGGGGGAATGGGGTACTCACACTTACTCTGTAGGTATTGCGTATTGCGGTTATGATTTCATGTTTTTGCACATTTTCAGTACATCGAGTCCATGGTTGTAGCCTTATAGCTATAAATACTCTCACCCTAATACAAACCCAAAAATAAACCCTGTTTGCTAAGGCTGACATTGAAGCTAACCCCTAATAAGCCAAAGCCTAATTTCAATCTGCCTCTGCAGTAAAAAAAATACAGTATACCGTGTACTGTAATTTTTGATCTACTCTTCATCGGCCAAAGGCAATCGTCTGCGTACAGAACCAGCCAATCATTCGTTGTGTTGCTGTTTATT